GGGGGGGGGGGGGGGGGGGGGGGGGGGGGGGGGGGGGGCGGTGCACGGTGCTTCCCTTCATATGGGGTATATGTCGTATACAGAAGACGCGCGACTGCTGCATACATAGAATTAGGAGAAGATTCTGTTCGGAAGATTCTGTTCAACAAGACCAGTCATTGACTCGAGTACTTGCTTCAATTTGATGCGTTGTGCCCGCGATCTTGTGCTTCGCTCCTCCCGAATACACACGGCCGCCTAAAATGGGGGCTCGTTCCCATCGCACCGCCCCTCGCTCCTCCTCCTTCTTGCTCCCGCCTCAGCTCCCGTCGTTGCTGCCGGAGTGTTGCATCCTCGCTGGATCGCCCCTACTTATTGTTTATGATGCTGCTGCTGCTGCTGCTGCTGCTGCTGCTGCCGTCTTGCTGTATTGACCAGGGTTATCGTGGCCAACACGCACCTCTACTTCCACCCCAACGCAGCGCACATCCGGCTCATGCAGCTGGTCACCCTTGTCGAGAGGTACTGACCTTCTACCGCCACCACCTATTTGTTTCCCTGTGAAGTGTGCGTTTGCAGGAACGTGGTGCCTTTTTGCGGCGTATGGTCGCTATTCTCCCAGTTAGTTCGCGCAAATCACCACCCGCGAGAACAGCTACCACTGCTGTGTTTTGTCGCACGTTGTGTGGTGATCCCCGTCCCCCTGTGCGGACGCTCTCCCTCCCTCGCAGAATATCGCGCGTGCGAAAGGATCTGCTCGCGCGTGGTCTGAGGCCCGCGGTGGTCCTAGGCGGCGACCTTAACAGCACGCCTGGCGGCCCGGTGCGGTACCTGATGGGAGATCTCATCGGGCCGGACAGTGACCTGTGGGAGAACGTGGGCACGTTCAAGTGGTGAGCTTCAGTCGGCTGGGATGGTGGTGGTTATGTGTACGGTAGTGGTAGGCTGTGACGACAAGTGGTGAGAGTTTGGCTGGGATGTGGTTATGTATGGTAGTTTTGGGCTGGGACGAAATATTGTGAGTTTCGGCCTACGATTGTGGTGTTGTGATGTACGGTAGGGGTAGGCTGTGGCGATAACTCGACGGCAGGAGCAACAAACGGTGGCAACCACAGAAGGAGGACGGCAGCGTTGCCTGGTGCGTGCAGAAGGACAACAGATTAAATACGTAACCTGGCACTCATGCCGGGGGTGCCTTTCAAGGAGAGCGCTTCCGAGTTCGTGACATAGTCTAATCGTAAATGTTTTTCGTTGGGATTGTGGTGTGAGTGCAGCACCTTGGCTGGCTCTATCACGAACACGGTTTCCCTTGCTGGCGCTGTTTCTTGTTTCCTTGCCGGAACTGCTTCCGTTTATTTGATTGTTCGACTGCTAAGCAAGTGTAGGTTGTGTTTTTTTTTTCGCCCCCCTTTGCCATCGGGGTTGGGTTTTCGTCGCTTGGCAACAACGTTGTAAAACAAAACACCGGGGACGTGACTGAGCTGGGAAAAATAGATGGAACGTACAGGGAGATGTTTGAGGCATGGAATAGAGAGGAAAGGAAAGGACGGTAGCTGTACTGGGGCATAGGAGGTGGGTTGAAAAGGCGGGAAGGGATATCGTTAGGATAGACAGACTAGGGAAGCCATTTTTGAGCCACCTTTGGCAAAGTAGGAAGGAACGATTGGCCATCGGTGATCGGTCCTGTGGGAACAATGCTCCGTCCTCTCGAGGACGCGTGGTCAATGGTCTAACCGCTAAGACATNACGCAAGGAAGTAAGCACAAGATGCCGAACACCCTTAGCAGGATGCAGCGCACCCTTCATGCGACTCGCCGAATATCTCACGGCGCTTCGCGCTTGGTGATGTGAGAGCCTGGTCCGGTGAGAACCCGGCATGCTCCGTCCCGGCTTTGTAGGGATGCAAGGTCAATGGTCTAACGACTACGGCATGCATGACTATGAGTACACCCCCCCCTTTCCCCCGCCCTTGTGGTAACAATGCTCGGTCCTCTCGAGGACGCGTTGTCAATGTTCTAACAGCTGAGGCATGTAAAATATAAGAGTACACCTCCCCCCCCCCCCCCCCCCCCCCCCCCC